GTGGGAACCATTCCTGAATCTAGGGGAACTTTTCCAGGGAGATCTCAGCTGGCTCCAGGCTGCTGCTATGCTCCGTCACTTCCTATGTAAGGTGCTGAAGATCAGGGGCCCCTGGAGAGAGGAGAATGAAAATAGGGGCTGGGGATGCTTCTAAGCTGCTATTTCTGAGGGACCACAAGAACCCCAACCCAGGACTGCGGTGCTGTGCCTTTCCAGGGTGGGCACTGGGGAAAGTGGAAAGTGGAGAAAAACTCTGTAAGGGGGGCAAGACAGGTGGCTGAGAACTTGGCAGTGCTGACTGAGGGCAGTGGGCCTGTGTGCAAAGGAAAGATCTGTTTTTTCTTCCCACGGCATTAAAGTGGAATAGTGACAATAGCAGGGCTGGTTCAATCCTGTAGCCCACCAACCCCACCTTTTGTACATCACGTAGGAAACGAACCTGAGTCCAAGAAGAAAATATCATTTTAAAGCAAATTTTGGAGGCATTTTATATATAATGTGTCTACTTTAGCTTTAAGATTATTCATATTTGAATAGCATTCCACATATTTTATGGTCTGCTGACTACAGTGAGTCCTTCTAAACATCTCTGGTACCCTCCAGTGACTTTTGTGGACACACGCCTCATGGAAGTCCACGGGATGGCTTTGGACTGCATGGATGCCTTCCTTCCTGGAAGAACAGTGAGTTTTGGGTCCACTGTAAACCTCAGTGAATTTTGAATGTTAGTTTGTGAGTCTCAAATAATAGTAGTGCACTTAACTTGCTAGGCAGGTATTTGGTAAGCAATCTTTTGATGTAAAAATGAAATTTTATACAAATTAACTGGAGGATCAGTGTGTGACTTACCAGAAGTCCCCTCCTAGTGCTCCCTGGAGCTAAATATTATACACTGAGAAGCCTTGAGCTAGAGCAATAGAATCACCTGGGCTTGTTACTGAAAATGCATTTCCAGGGCCCCTACACAGAGATTAAATCATTCAGGGTTGAGGCCCAGCAATCGGCATTTTAAATAAGAACTGAAAGGGATGCCGATATAGGTGGTCCATAGATATGAATTGATCCAGGATGTCCAAGGAAAAGAGCGGGACTACTCTAGGCCAGGTTCTGTGCACACCTGCTATTCTGAGAACATTTCTAAGGTTAGAGTGTGACTTTATGAGTTCTGGGAGTGGGGTTAGGTTGTTCCGGAGATGGAAAGGGCAGTGAGGAGGAGCCCAAACAAGGTGGGCTATATTGGAGACATTTTTGGTTTGATCCTTGAGTTGTGGCAGCTTAAAGGGAACTAAAGGCCATTAGAGGGGACTGGGACTGATGGATAAGAGATTCAGAGGCTAAAGCCAGAGATGCATTATGCGGGGGAGAGGACTACAGAGAAGGAGGGAAAAACATGGGGAAATGATAAAGGAAAAGAAATGCACATACATGCAACACTGACTGTGTGTTAATGGCTTTTTCAATCTCATTCACTGCTCACCACAATGCTCTGAGATACACAATAGCACTCTCTTGTATATGTGGGGAAATAGGGGCTCGAAAAGGTTAAACGGGCTAAAATAAACATGGAAGTCAGGATTTCATTCCAGGATCATGTGGTTCCTGAGCTCTTTTTGCTCTTTACTTAGTGCTTTGTAAGGCCAGTAAATAATGTTTCATTATTTCATTCATTCACCCAACATGAATGAGATCCTACTAAGTGCCAGGCACTGAGATAGGGGCCAGGGGCTGATTGGTAAACAAAAAAGACACTATCCTAGACTTTAATAGATGACACATACATTAAACAACCACACCCATAGTTATAACTTTGCAAACATTTGTGAGAACTAAAAAGAAAAATTGCAGGCTCTATAAGAAAGCAAGAAGAGGCTCTTCATTTAGACTGGAGGATTAGAAATGGCCTCTGCAGGAATGTGATATTAAGCTGAGACTTCAAGGATGGGTAGGAATTAGCCAAGCTGGAGTGTGGGGAAGAATGTTCCAGAAGTGCACTGCCCAAAGGAACTTTGTATGATGACCAAATTATTCAATATCCGTCCAATATGGTAGCCACAAGTCACATGTGACTACTGAGCACTTGAAATGTGTCTAGTATGACTGAAAAACTCAACTTTTAATTATATTTAATTGCAATTAATTTAAATGTACATATTTAAAAAGCCACATGTGGCCAGTGACCACTGTATTGGACAGAACAGCTCTAGAATAAATGAAAAGTTTATGCAAAGGAGCTGAATTGAAAAAGGGTTTTGTGGCTTTCAGGAACCTAAAGTGTTGGGGTTCAAGGAGGACAAGGGAGCAGGGTGAAGCCTGAGTGAGGAGGGTTAAGCATGTGCAGGCACTTGCAGGCCTCATGAAGGGTTTTCAATTTTCCTCCCATGGTGATGTTATTGAAGGGTTTCAAGAAGAAGAATGACTTGGTCAGTTTTATGCTTTAAGGAGATCACTCTGTGCTGTGGGAACAGGGTTATAGGGGGTGAACTTGGGAGAAGGGAAACCTGGGAGTAGAAGATGGGGGTGGTTTAGCTTAAGGGTGGACACTGTGGAAATGAGAAGTGGACAGATGTGTGATAGCATTTTCAGGTAAAATCAACAAAACATATGTTTTGTTTTGTTTTGTTTTGTTTTAGCTGAGCCATCCTGCCACCTGTTGGCAGCTCAGTGGCACTCAGCTCCGGCCTGGAAGTGAACCGGCAACCCTGTTGCTCAGAGCTTGCACTCTTGAGCGAGCTCTTAGCCAACTGAATCACTCGGTCGGCCCAACATACGGTTTTAAAGAGACAGAATCCTGCCCCCTAGACCTGTGTTGTCTGATATGGCAGCCACGAGCCTTTTGTGGCCACTTAAATATAAATTAATTAAAATGAAATGAAACAGAAAATGTTGCTAGTCTGCACTAGGCACATTTCAAGGGTTCAATGGCCACGTGGGGCTACTGGCTGCTTTTATTGGGCAGCCTGGCGTTAGTGAACATTTCCATCATCGCATATACTTCTACTGGATAGTGATAAGGTCACTTGGAAAAGTATTTTAAAAAATGGATCTAGAAGAGTTCAAAGAGGCCAAAAGTCCAACACCCTCACTTTAGAGGCGACGTGCTGAAGGATGCTTAAGTAATGTCACTAGAGTGGTACCGACGCCAGGTTCTCAGCGAGCAGCCTCCTCCACACACATGCTCTGTGAGCATCATTGGCAGAAACACCAGCTTTCCAAAGGGCTTTGCTTCCAGAAGGAAAGGGCTGAGGCATTCTCACTTCTCCCCAAGCTGTTGTCCATGAGGAATGGATGAGAGCAGAGATGAAGGGCACATGGAGGCCTGATGACCCCATTTGACAGAAGGTTAAACTAAGAAGCTGCTGGCAGTGACTGAGCAAGAAAAGGCTCCCGGAAGATTCAGGCCTGATTCTGACTCAGACCACTTAATAATGCCATCGCAGCCTAGAGAAGGAAGGGTGAGATATAAACTACACACAACCACTATTATTTGTCCAGCTAACGTGGCCTAGGGCTGGAAATTCAGAGCACATGTCTTCAGTCTCTTCTGTAGAAAAGAATGCATTGCCTTTGAAAACCACATACTGCACAGGGCACCTCATTTTGTCATTCAGTCTCATCTCTTAACTCCGCCTCTCCAAAGGTGTACCCAAGAAATAGGTTCCAAAGAAATAACACTGGCTCACACTTTACTTGGGTCTAGATCCCAAGTAGGCCTTGATTCCAGAGAAGCGAAAAGAAAAATAAACAAACAAAAAAATCCCTGAGCTGGCAAAGCTTCCTGATGACCTGGTAATTCTGGGAACAATGAAGTCAGTTCACAGGAAGTAGGTGAGAAGAGAGAAAAGCCTTTTTTGTTTTTGTTTTTTTGTTACCTCTCAGCTTCTGGTTATGGGCAGGGCTTAGTTTCAGATGATTCAAGAAGAGGAAGGGGGTGGAGAAAAGCTGCCTGAGGAGCAGGCTTGAGAGGGAGAGGATCACACAGAGGAGGACAGTAAATGTCTAAGGGTGCATGATCCCCCAAGACCCTGACTTGCTAAATCTGGGATGAACTTCACAGTGAGACTATGGGTTTATCTCTATCTCCTGTCTTCCAGCTCAGGCTACTTCGAAGACCACCACGTTTCTCTTGGGTGGAGGCAGTGGTGGCTGACAGCCTTCCAGAGTTTCTTGTTGCCTTGTGCCTTCTTGGACTGTGGACAGATGGTTCATGACCGAGACATACCTATATGTCACCTCCCTCAGTCAATGCTTGGACTCACATCTCTCACATCAGTGTCGTCATTAACTCTTGAGTAGGATGACGAGCACAGCTACCACTACCAGTGCGCTGGACACTGTGCTGAGTGCTTTATGTGCGTTTGCTCAGTTAAACATCACAATCCCTATAGAATTAGGTTGTCTCCATTTCGCCTGTGAAGAATATGAGGCTCAGAAAAACTACAATGACCATGCGATCTAGCAATCATGTTGTTTGGTATTTATTCAAATGAATAAATAACTTATACACACAAAAATCTGCATGTGGGTATTTATACCAACTTTATTTATAAGTGACCAAACTTGGAAGCTACCAAGATGCCCTTCGGTAGGTGAATGGTTAAATCAACTCTGGTACATCCAGACAATGGAATATTATTTAGTGATAAAAAGAAATGCATTATCAAGCCATTAAAAGACACGTATGAAACTAAATTGGATATTACTAAGTGAAAGAGGCAAGTCTGAATGGCTACACTCTGTGTGATTCCAACAATGTGACATTCTGTAAAAGGCAAAACTATGGAGACAGTAAAAAATCAGTGGCTGTCAGGGGTTAAGGAGAAGGGAGTGGTGGAAAGGTGGAGCATGGGGAATTTTTAGAGCAGTGAAACAACTCTTTGTAATACCATAATGATGGTATTACATTTGGATATATGTATCCAATATGTATTTGTATTGTATGTATTGTATTTTTTTTGTATTGTATGTATTTGGATATATATCACTATACATTTGTCAAAACCCACAGAGTGAACCCTAATGTAAACTATAGACTCTGGGTGATAATGTAGGTTCATCGGTCATAACAAATGTACCACTGTTGTACAGGATGTTGGTGGTGGAGGAGGGTGTGGAGACAGGAGACGGGATATATGGAAATCTCTGTAATATCTCCTCAACTTTGCTGTGAATGTAAGACTGCTCTAAAACATAAAGTATATATATATAAATGTTTCAGTACCTATCCAAGGTCCCAGCACTAGTGAACGGTAGAACTAGGCCCTGAAAGCAGGGCTCTTTAATTCCAAATACCATGTTCTTCACCTTTACACTATGTCATCTCACTGTAGTCTTTCATAATTCACAAACATTTTTGTTTCTAACTCACGCTTTATTTCACAGTGATAATATGATGTGGGCCTTAATCCTATTTTCCAGATAAGGAAATAGGCTCAGAAAGGTTAGCTAACTCACTCAAGTCACGAATTGGCTGGGTGAGTAGCTGAGTCAGAACTCGAATCCAGGTCAGTTGACTTGAAACTGTGCTCTTATCAGATAACCCATTGACCTCACTGATCCAAAAACTCATCTAACCTAGAAACACACACAATGTGGCATCCTGGCTGGTTCGCGTACCAGCTACTGCATGACTTTCATGAGTTGAGTTATTCCATCAGCTGGAAATCTGTATATCTCAGGACTTGGGTCATGTCTCCACCAAGGCAAGGTGAGAAAAAACCAGCTTTGCCTTTGGTCCACATCCAGAATAAAAAGGTGTGTGATAAATGGAGAGAGAAGGGGCAAGGGAGGAAACCAGGCTAGTGTGCTGGGAAATTGAGAAGTAAGCCCAGAACCTCAGTCTCACCCAAGAAGCCTCAGCTCTTCTTCCCACAGGGTCATGGGAGTCATGACTGCCACGTGGGTGACCAGACCTCCTGGTTGTGAGGGGAACGCGTGCACCAGCAATGGAGAAGGCTCTTTGGGACATGGGGACATTCAAAACTCCCTTCTCTTAGTGTCCCTCTCTAAAGGCAATGGCAACACTGCCTCCTCTATGAGCAGAGAACTTGCCTGACTGAAATCCTGACCACATGCTCATCTCCTCTGATCCTCTTTCTTCCCTTTGCTTCTTGCCACAGTCCCTTCCCTCATCTCTCCTAAGAAAGGAGATGCATGGTGCTGTCCATGTCCATCTGTCTGTCTGGTTGGCATCTCTCTTTCTTGGCCAAAGTCTACAATCTGGCTCACTGATTTCATTGTGCTATGAGGTGCCAACCTGGGACTTAGTAAAATGTTGACTACATAACCGCCCTCCTGCAGAGAAATACCTCAAACCTTAAGGTGATAACTGTGGGGGCTGCAAACGCGGAGCTGGGCAGGTTGTGCAATGCCTGAGGGTACACGGTGGAGGGAGTGGCGGTGATGGTTCTGAAATAGAGACCTCACTGTCATCACCACACTGTGTCCTCCTCAACCCAAAGGACCATCTCCAGTGAACACGGAAGTGCCAAGTGGCCTGAGCTATTTTAAAGACAATGGTGATCACTGTTTGTAACCAGCATTCCTGATATTTTTATTCCTAGATGCTACTTGACACAGCATGGGAAGAGTCTGAGCTTGGGAGTCAAGGCCCTGGGTTCAATCTAACTTCCCCACTTACAAAAGGTAAAAACTTTATTAGCCTCTTGGCCTCTATTTATCTACCCCCAAATGCTAGCAAATACATGTTCTGGTTTACCCTCACAAACCAAACCAAACCAAACACCACCAACTCTGTAAGGAAAGCAAAGCATGGGTTCCCATTCCCATTTCACAGAGGAAAAGTTAAGCAGTTTGTCATGGCCACGAAGTTACTGAGTGGGGGATAAAGGCTGGACCCTGGCTCTTCTCCTTTCGTTCCAGCCCCACACACACACTCAGTGTATCATGCCTATGGAAACAGGTATGGTTTTCAAAGCATTCTCACATTCCTCATCTTATTTGAGTCTCAAAATGAACCCGACGAAGAAGACAGTGGATGTTTTTAGGGTGGCTCCTACTGATGTATTGTTTATCCAATACCAGGGGGATGAGTGTTGAGAATTAGCCGCGAACACAGTTAGTGAACACAATTCATTGGCCACACTAAATGATGTACTCTTATATTTGCATAGCCCTTTGCAGTGTAAAATGTCCTTCCAAATATAATATTTGAAGATCTCATTTGATCTCCACAACTCAGGGAGGAGGTGGGGCAGTTCAGATAGCGGCTGTCTTACCGATGAGGGAGACCGATGAAGAGGAGTGGGCTGACTCACCCAAGCTCATCCAGGTGAAGGGGCAGAAGCTCGGCGCAAGCTCGGGCATTCTAACACGAAACCAGCACCCTCCTAGGACTCCCTTCTGCCTCAGGGATGATCCAACTTAATGACTTTCAGAACTCTGGAGGGCTTCCTGGAGGTGACTCCAGGGCTTCTCCGTGAAGTCTGTGTGTGTGTGGAGGGGGTGTGGGGGGTGCCCTAATAATGTTGTTTAATTTTTAAGTGAGTGATGCTTGCACAGTGAACAAACTTCAAAGGGTGTATTCTTTTGACTGAACATATCTCGGGGGCTTGCCCCATGCCACTATGCCAGACAGAAGTGAGCTCCGTGTGCAGTGCACCAGGTGTTTTAAGGAGTGCTGTTGGGATCAACATCTGTGGGAGGCAGGGAAGGAGGAAGCAGGATCGGAACGAGGGAAAAGTTGGAGTGTGGTACAATGGCAACAAAGACCTCAGTCAAGTCTGTGGGGAGCCCGGGAGCTGGGCTGGACCTTTAGAGTTGTTTTGAGTTGTGGTAAGCATACAGGTATTTAATACCCCCGTGCCGATCAGCCACTGGCTACAGGTAGCCCTGGGAAGAGGGTGTGGGTTTGGGCGAGGTGACTCTCTTCTGCCAGGCAATTCTGAAGGGGGTTTTCAGCTGGCAGCACTTCCAGAAGCTGAGGGAATGAGTTCTTCAGTCCTGGAGGAGCATCTGGCTGCTCATCGCAGCATCTTCAATGGTCCATATTTTGGGCCACTCAGATCCACCCTTCTTAGAAGTTCTGGAAGCAGCTCCTCCAGAATTCAGGTGGTGTCTTTTCCTACGTGCAGCTTATAAGAAGAAATGAGACAAACCTCAGCCTGCTGCTGCAGCTGGTCTCAGAGCCGCATCTAGCACTCGCATCTCTCCTCTACTACTTACCCATTCTACTTGTCTCATCCTCAGCCAGCTCTTGTAATGGTCTCAGTGGCTCCCCAGAGAGACTCTCATCCCTGGGATTTTTGGCCCTCTGCAATGCTCTTCTAAGCCCATGGCTGCTTTATTTTTCATTTACTGTCGGGATTGGGCAACCGAGTAACTAGAGTCACCCAAGTGAATTACCTAGTGTCATTACTGCTCCCTGTCCCCACTGAGCGACAGCAGCCCCGCCCTCAGGATCAGTTACCTCTGCCAGGATGGTGAGTCCACTTCTAGATTTCTGGCCTCTTGGCACAAGAAACACGAAATGTTCCGGTGGCAGCTACAGTTTATGGGTCAATGGTACTCTTTCCACGATCTCAGGTACAAGTTCCCTTTTAGAGATCTAGGACCTAAACCATCAAAACCCAGAGCTGCAGGGATGGGAAGGAAGAATTTCTCAAGAAGGCGTCTGAGAGTGATGGTTAAGTATGGCCTCTGCTCCTTGCTTCCCAGGCCCATCTATGCTACCCACTGGAGACATGGCCTCTTAAAGTGGGGCCTGGATGAACAGATGAGGAACGTGGATACGACTTGGGAATATTCACAGAACCAGAAGCAGCAATACTTCCACCAGTGCGCCCAGTGTTGGCCCCACCATTTAGGGAAAGCTCCTCTGTGAGCACAATAAACTGTCCCCAAGTAGGACTCTGATGGCATCTTGTGCTCAGAGAGGGTATAATGTGTCCTTCCTGCTCAGGAAACATTTAGCTGTAAATTTTTTCATGGTTTCCACCTGTTTTTGCCTGCTTCCATGGCAGCCTTCCTGTGTCCCTGTGTCCGTGTCTCCTCACATCCCTCCATAATTTCATTCATTCTCTCTTTCTATCTATCTTACACACACACACACACACACACACACACACAACACACACACACACACACACACGCGCGCGCGCGCGCACACACACCCCAGCAGTGGGTGCAGACTTGGACCACAGTCTCCTCCCTAGGGTAGAAACTGTCCTTTGAACCTCAGCCTCTCTCCAGGGGCAGCTCCACACTACACACATGCAGCTTTTTCTCAGGGTGCTGAGAAGGCAAGGACAGGCCTGGCAGTTAGAGTGCTGGAGAGGCCTTTGGAGAGGAAAGTGCAGTACCTTCCCCAGTTGGTGATAACAACAGAATTTTTTGCTTTCGATTTCATTAAACATTTCAGCTACAAGGGAAAACACACAGACCTTAGTCAGGCTTCTTTCTAAGTAAGGATCAACAGGACTCTTGCAACATTTTCTTCTAGGGCCTTCCAGGCTCCAGGATACTTCTAGTTTTGGCTTTCTTTAGCAAAACCCCTCAGAGCATAGGCGCCCAGGCCCCAGCGGGAGATGGCTGCAGCCTGTGCTTTCTCTGCTAGCGGCTGTTCTTGCTGTCTCAGGGCCCTTGACCCCATACTCTGGCTCTAGTGAGTAAGGTATCCCTTCAAGGGCTCCAGCTATTTTTAATCATCAAGTGTTTATGGGACCTGGAATGCGGCAGGGCTCAGCGGTGGGGGGGGGGGTGTCTGTGGTTATTTTTTTCTTTTTCCTGGACAATCAGCTGGGATTGTCAGGAATGCCAGGCTGTGTGTGTTTAATGGAAAACCATAGGGCGTCTTGGGAGAGGATGGTGACACGATGGCCTGCATGCTGACAATTCCCTGGGAGCCTAGAGGTGTCTCCTTTCCATTCCCATGAGCCTGTTGCCCCAAACCGGGGACACTGTCCAGGGAGTGTCACTGAACTGTGTAAGGACAAGAGGGGACCTTGGCAGCTGAGCCTCTCACAGCCCTAGCTTCTAATCTGGGCTGTCACCCACCTCCAATTTGCAAGTATTTCCAGAATGTCCCTTTGCACACTGTGCTTTCCTCAATCTGGGGAACTTGCTAAAACTCTTACCCACTTAAGGAGGAAGCTGAGAGACAGAGATGCCAGCATAGCCCCTGACGCACAGAGGACCTCAATAATTACTCATGAAGTGAACAGCTATTCCTGGCTGATATCAGTAGCCTATTGCTGACTCTGAAGGTGAGCTTCTTTCACTCCAGCCCCCCCTACAGCTCCCCCAGACCTCAGGGCAGCCCCCAAAGAAATGTCAACGAGTTTCTATGTACACTGGCCTGCCCGTGACTGATCACCCTCTCCCTCCTTGCCGGCTCAGACCTTCTGGATATTTTTGTAGGGTGCTTACCAGTCTGGGCACAGCCGAGATCTTCTTTTACCCAGTAATCCTGCTGTTGGTAGACAGGTGTGAAAAGAACAGAAAGCAGACATCATGGTCTGCTGATTTAATTATGGCTTTTCAGAGCAGCGGAGTTTGAGTCTGGAAAGCTCCTAATAGCAGGTCTGTCTGTGGAACAAGAACAGACATTGTGAGCTTTAAATAGGGGGTTGACAGGCTACTGCTGGCTGCAATGTCAGACCAGCCAGTTGAGGCCACTCCTCTGGCTCCCGTTCTCTTTTCTGTCTTGCCTGAGGTCTGGGTGTTGTGCTTAAATGAGCTCCAACACCGGACAGAAGGAGCCTACAGCCAGGATGGGGTAGGACTAAGCAGGAACGCCCCCTCAAGTGAAGCTGAGCTGGATATTGCAATGTCCAAAAGGTGCTCATCCTTTTCATTTGTTCTCTCAACAAACATTTATTGAGCACCTATTGTTTGCCAAATGTGGTTCTTCCCTGGGGAGACAATGGTGAATGGTGAATCTCCTGGTGAATGGTCAAACATTCTGTCTTCAATGAAACTTTGGTTCTCTGATGCTTTTTGGCTGGGGCCTGTGCCTGGCTGGGTTGATGGAGCAGAGGAAGGCTTTACAGCCACAGAGTCTCCTTGAGCATCATGTAGAATGTGGCCCAGGACTGAGGTGACACCAGTGTTGGCCCTGGACGACCCCAGAGAAGTATCGTCCTGTTTGCATCCCCGTAGGCCAGTCTTGGCTGCTTCAGGTGGCCAGTTGAATGGTTGCTGCTCATGATATTCCAGATGACCAGTGTGTGTGTGTGTGTGTGTGTGTGTAATTCCATTTGTGTTCAAGCCAAAGTTCAGTGCCTTACTTATTCCACTTGTGCTTTTCCCCGCCTAAATTGGGATTATTTTATTTTTCCTGATCAAATTCAAAGCCTTGCTTTATCTTTTATTTTTATCAAGCTAGTATAACTCTATTTAAATTTTTTATTGGGATATAATCGACATATAACATTATATTAATTTTAAGTGTACAAGATAATGATTCAATATATATATGGAGAAATGATTACCATAATATTTCTAGTTAACATCCATCACCTCACATAGGTAGTTACAATGTATTTATTTTTGGGACCCAGATGGCTATTTCTAATATCATGTGTTTTGTGGGGGAATGCCAGACCTTTTATCTAAAAGAACTAGATATTATGTCAGATATTTTTAGGGGTACAGGAGAAAAAATATGGGCAACTGAGGCCGTTTCCCAGGACATTTGGGTAGAACAAATTGACATGAGGCAGTGGCCCATCCATTTGTCTTTGAGCCATTCAGAGACTGCAGGTCAAGTTCAAGGCCCTTGTGGCTTGATGAAACTCTTCCATCCTATCTACCACCCCAAGCCAGTGTGAAGCAGCCACACTGTCTCCCCTGTGGTCTGCTCTGGACATGCTTGACTTCAGCCCCCATGGCATTGCTCTTGTCTTCTCAAACCATCTATGGCTGAGCAGTGAAAACTGTGCAATGAGGGTATTTTTAGCAGCAAAAGGATTTAGAGTGGGCACTTGAAGACTGAAAGATCAGACTACCGATTTCTTTCCTCTTTGGTTTACTCTCCAGTTTTCTTTCATCACTTGCTTTTATTTAAAGCTAATATGGAGGGCCCACTCCATGTCAGACACTGAGTTTATATGAATTGTTTCATTTAATCTTCGAAACAGTGTTGTGAAGAAGCACCATGAAACTTAGCAAAAAGGGAAGAGGGAATTAAAACTTGGCAAAAAAAGAAGTTTGCCTGCAGCCTCCAGCTTGTTACAGGGTTTGAGCTCAGAGCTCAGAGCTTCTGCTCTTAACCACTGTACTGTGTGGACCCCCCAGGCCAGGTGATGCCCTGTCATGCTTGTCTTATTCATGGTCAGGGCTGAGGTTCGTCCTTGAAACTGTCATTCAATTAACTTAGGAACGTGTCTTATTTTCTTTTGTCTCTTGCTTACAAGACCTGAGGCTCCACCTCTCCCCACCCAAGGGGAAATCTGCCCAGTCCTGTAGCCCAGATGTCCTGTGGGAGTCACTTGCCTCTCCTAGGTGCACCATCTTAGATGCCCCTAGAGGGACCATAGAGATGGTGGAGGAGGAGGATGCCTACAAATACCAATGGAGTCCTGCTCCAGTGTCACTCTCTGTGTGATCTTGGGCAAGTTACTAGCCTCTTTTTCTCCATCTGTGAAATGGAAGTAAAATGAAAACCTATCCCATCACGCTGTCAGGGGATTTAGCAGAGAGCCTGGCATATCATCAGCAGTCAATAATTATTATCTGGTACAGACCCATGGTGTATTATGTATAATTCTGAAGTAAAAAAATCTCTGAAAATTGTATGGTTGGTGTCAAAAGCTATTTGGAAGCAAAACCTGTCCTGACGTGTCATACAACTGTATTTAGAAATACTAATGAGGTACTGCTATGGGCCCTGCTGGGGTTGTTACATGACATAGTGTACATTCACCGCATTATCTTTCTAAAGTCAAAAGAATCTGAATTCTGAAACATAGCAAGAGTTTAGGATAATGGATTGTGAACCTGCATTAATTTAAGAGCAGAGTCAGTATGTCCCTTGATTGACTTTCAATAGCAGTGACTGTCACTCTGAAACTCTGAGAGCCAAAACCCTGAAAGGAATAGAATTGACTCTCATTTCTCCAAGAAGAAATTATAGATTGCTGTTTAAGGGCAAAAAGAATTAGAGGTAGTGAAGTCAATTGAAACAAAAGATTTCTTTCTTCATTTGCTCATGTGATCATTGGGGAGTTTCTATAGGGGTCTGGTCCTGGGTAAGAGCAATCCCAGGATGCAGTGGTCACTTCCTGCTTGTTCAGTGTTTTGATAGGTGGAGCTGGAGAAGGGGTAGCAGAGCAGTTGTTCTATCTCAAGGGATCTATGCTTTCATTGAGGATGTAAGTCATGCAGGCTTGAAACAAATAATACTATGTCAGAAAATGAGGTTAGAAGATTATGAAATCAATATTCAAGTGAGTAACAGAGGTGGTATGTACTATAGGAGTCCAGAAAAGAGACTCCAAATGTCAGGGAGCTAATCTAAAGTTCAGCTAATTCTTAGAAGAGTTCCAAGGAATGGATAAGAAATGAGATGAGAAGAGAAACTGACATTGGAGTGAAGGAAAAAGCAGCAGCTTTGGAAATCCATCCATACCCACATTTACTAGCTATGTGGCTTCAGTAGTTTGGCAAACATTTCTGAGCCTCAGTCTCTTCATTTCTAATGTGGAGATAGCTATCTTTCTCTCTTGCTATAATTTTGTAAAAGTTAAAAATAAATAGTATATGGAAAGTGTTACCAGAACAGCATCTCTTCTTCTGGTGGCCGTTGTCCCTGCAATTTGGCTTTCAGAATCTTAGCTCTCACTGACTTCACAATGCTTTTTGACTATGAGCTGGGCAGCTTACAGCCTTACTCAAAGGTGTGCGTTTGACCAAGTTATATAAATCAGTAGGAAACAACCAACCAACCAACCAACCAACCAACCAACCATTCAACCAAACAAAAACCCAAACAAATAACCCTCTACCCCCATGACGACATTTGACAACTCTCTCCCGTTCAGCCTTCCCCATCTCTCTAATTAAGCCACATCCTCCATCCAGAAGTGGACAGAGGAAGACAGCCTGCCCATGAGATCTCCTGTTTGTTTTCAGGAAAGCTCATTTTATCTTCTTTTTAAGACCTCTTGGCCTGTTAACATGCAGCATCACCCCATGGGAAGGTTCCTGATAGATGGCGATTGTCCTGGTATCTTGGCTCCAATGCCATTGTCCAGCCTCAGTGGGTCATACAAATACCACAACCACATAAATTCTACATATCAACTAGGGGAGAGGTTAGGGGAAATGTGAAACAAAGGGGAGTAGAGGTTATCATGGTAGAAATGCAGGGTGGGAGAAGGCCACACAAGGTCTAATGCAGAAGGAAAGGGGGTGAAAGAGTCACCCGAGCAGAGTTAATCCCAGAGCCCACCCACGAGCAGGGAGCTCAGGAAAACTGTCTCAGTTCTGATGGGAAGCATCCCCATTCCAATATAAAAGCCCTAGAAGAGCTGGGGCATTAAGGTTTCAATAGTAGTAGCCGCAGGGGTGGAGGGATGTCATCGCCGCCACCCCCAAGCTCATCATCGTCACCATCCTCCTTCTTTATGAAGGATAGAGGTTCATGAAGATCATCTCTCCTGTGAGGTCAGGAGAGAGGGGTCAGGAAGAGCACAGGTAAAGCAGAGGGGATGCTTTGCAGTTTAGATGGAGGGGCTGGGAGATTTTGAACACCCAACTGAGCCTTCATCGGCAGTCACTCGGGTGGTAGTGGGCACTGTGGAGAGAGCAAGCATCATTATTCAAAATGGTGCGAAGGAAGCCCTGTGGTGACAGGTGGGGTGTGAATGCTGAAATGAGGAAGGGAAAGGAGTCAGGGACACTGAGAGGAATCAAAAGAAAGGGGTGGGTCCTAGTGACATTTTTGTTTTATTCTGTTTAAATCAGTTTTATGATTATTTATCAACTTAAGTTTTTCATATAATTTACTAAGGTGAAATTCACTAACGTCAAATTAGCCATTTTAAAGTGAACAATCCAGTGGCATTTCGTACATTCATAATGTGCAACCACCACCTCTATCTAGTTACCAAAATGCTTCCATCACCCCCAAGTAAAACCCTGTACCCAGTAAGCAGTTTCTCTCCATCTCCTTTCCTCCAGCCCCTGGTAACCCCCAATTTGTCTTTTGACTCTATGGATTTATGTTTTCTGGATATTGTGCATAAATAGAATCATACAATACGTGGCATTTTTTATCTGACTTCTTTCACTTGGTGTGTTTTCAAGATTCATCCACATTGTAGCATGTACCAATACTTCATTCATTCTAATGGCTGAATAATATTCCAGCATATGAATATACCAACATTTTTTATCCATTCGTTCGTTAATGGACATTGGGCTATTGTGAATAGTCAATAGGAACACACACATACAGTCCTGGTGACATTTTAAAGATGACTTTGAAGATGTGTCCTTATGTCTTGAATGCTGTGGCAAGTCAGCATTCATTTCATACAAATGAAATATATTTGTGAAATATATTTCAGAGGTTAGATTCCCAATTTCAGTTACCGGTGAGTCAGTAGGCAGAAGAGGCTAAAGGTTGGATAAACTCCATCCTGGAGAAACAACTCCAGGTCAGCTCAGGAGGCCT